TGAGGTCAGAATGTTTTAGCGATGAAGATGCAAGCGTTGAAGGTGAATCCCAAATCGGTAAACAAACAAAAATATCAATTCAAATTTATAAACATATAAAAAGTCTCAATACATACCTTAAGAATGTGACTAAGTCGCTGCTGTTTTGCAGTCTAAAAGAAGAAATTACATTATAATTAAATAAAATTGTTAAATACGTATCCTTACCTTCAAAATTTTCGCAAAGTGACATTTCTTCACAGTATGTATACTGTCATCAAAACTCCGATGTTTCTAACTTGCTCGCTCTAACGCATAGAATTCTTATTAGAGTACGAATTCTTATCGGGTATGTAGCTCTAACAAAGGGACATTTGTTTGACAGTTCGAACAAAAAATTTGTAAGTGTGTGGGTGAGATGACTAAAAAGTTGTGAATGTGTTTGTAAATCGTTTGATTTTCAGGGGAAAGTGGTGAGCCGTGGCTGGCAGGGACAGCGCTTAGCAAAAATAACTAACCACACATCGAAGAAAATTATCGCTGGGCAGTCTACTCGTTAATTTATCACAGCATGGGGCGCCAGTCACACGGATATCTATTGTGATATTTGGATCGTGATTCATATTGATTGATTTCAAAATAGTGATGGATCGCGCGGGAATGCTACATGCTCAATATTAACGCGTCACTATTTATATGTTTTTGTGTAAAGAAGTTTAAAGTCCGATTGATGAAGCTTGGAAACCTTATCTTGATGTTTTTTTATTGAAAATCGTCTCTAAGTTTTATTATATGTATGGTGATTCCACATCTAATTTGTTCGAAATGCATGCAATTGATATCACCAAAGATGCCACACCTTCAATACTTATTGATAGATCTTTGATACATATATAGAGGATATGAAAAAAGGAGGTTTGAACAGCAGTTTGTACGGTGTATTTGGGCGCTTTATAGCCTTATTATATGCACTTAAGTCGAATTTTTAAATATTTTTTTGTTCTGCAGCTAAGATCCCGTTCAAAACGCAATAGCATAAAGCGCGTTTTTGTGAAAAGTATATTTTTAAACGCGTGCGTTGCAAAAATTTTTGTGTTGTTTTTTGTTTCCCAAATTTTTTCTTCTTTATACATGTACGTATACGGAGATTGAATAAAAATGTATTTATATGCGTATGTGAATGTATCTAATTATTATATTAGGCTTTGAGCGCTAGAGTAGCTTAACTGATATTTCAAAAAAAGTTGAGGTGCCCTTTAAAATGCTTTACCAGAATCGAAACGGTAATAGCCCGAGGCACGCCCTTTTAGTTTTCTTATACTATAACATGTAGCATCACGTAGGTGCAATGAATTTTTTAGTAAAAGACCGCATTTATTTTTTATGGATCCTTCTTTTTCATATTACTAAAGATTTTTTGGAAAATAAATTTCTATAGTTTTCTTACTATTTCTACGATTCGTAGCAAAATCCGAATACGAAAGAGTTGTAGAATAGGGATGTAAATTTCTTAAAGAGTCAGATAATATTTCATGAAACCAAAGTGTTTTGCCGTCAGGTAATTTAAGATATTTTAAATGAATACACACGTATTAACAGCTCTGCTAATACGATGAAATAAGTACACAAATTTACCTTGCGAGTTATTCAGCCTCATTGCGTAAGTCGTAAATAATGCTAAATTGTACGACTCGACAACATTGGCATTGTTTACTGTCGTGCTGAAAAAAATAAGCGACGAAAATCGTCGGAAACTTTACAGAGTCGTATCAAACGACACGACTTGCATTCGACACGACTCTCGCAATGAGGGTGATTATTTTTTAATGCATAAAAAATTCCTTAAAAAAATTTTAAAATTGCCAAAACAATAATTTGTTGAGGTGGCTACTTGAGCAATTTACGAAAAGTATAAACGTCATAAGCATAGTTTATGTCAAAAAATTTCAAAGTGAAACTACCTTCTTTTTTTGTATCATGGTATTACATTAAAACAAACAACTACTCAGCATTTCAAAATTGTTTGATTAAGTTTAGTTTTGAAATACTCACCATCACTTTTACAAGTAGCGAAGGAACTTTCTTCGATTTCGCCCCACGGCATCGATGTTGCGCCAAAAATTAAAAAAATTGATGTATCGATGTCAGAACCGATTTTTTTTTGCATCTCTACTAGTCGCTATACCATTTGTTAACAGCAGCGTTGCCGGGAGCTTGAAAAAAGTAGCAATTGCCAAGCAGAAAAAGTAGCAAAAGCAAGCAAAACTGTTTTATTTTAACTTTTATTTGAAAAAAACAAATTATAAATAATATTTTATAATTAAATCCATAGTTATAAAAACAACTTAATATTGCTTAAACAAAACCAGAGAATCTGTATGCTTATTTGCATAACGAAAAACAAACTTATATGACCTGTTCGCGCCTAATACGTTACTTTCAATTAGACCTTAAGCGTGTGTCTCGTTTGGCAGCACTGTCTGTAACCTGTCTAACTTGACATCCTTTCTACTTCCCTTCTATTAAATGGATTTAACCAAATTGGACGTGTTTAATTTTAATCCGAGGTAATCCGCTTAGTTTTCCCCGCTATTTTTCAAACTATAGTTTCAAACGCTATTTAACCGCCACAAAGTGGTCCTTCAAAACGGATTCCGCGATATTTTCGTTGTATACAGTCCACACCGCGTTATTTTAATATAACAAAATTTTACCACACCCGCAAAATGTCGTCGCTTAAAGTCCGCGATTCCGCTTTAAAAGCCATAAAGCGCTGTTTACAATCGAGCTTTCGGTCGACGTAGAGGTTGTATCTACGTACTTGCAGTTGTTGGAGGAACAATGGGTACGATTTTGTGAAGCTCAACAAGAGGTAGAGCTCTCGTGCGGCGAAGAAAGCGTCGAGATGGAGGAGCAATCTCGAATTCAAGGTGAGGAGTGGTATACTATCGCCAAGGTGAATTTCAAACGCCTTACGGCTGCGCTCAAGATACCTACGCCTCAAGCCACTCAAACTACGCCAGCACCTGCGCCGCTTCCGAAGCTGCAGCTACCGTCGTTTAGTGCGCCGAATGGCTCACCTTTCATGACGCCTTTTGTTCGCTCGTCAATGCCAATGCAAGTCTGACGGGCGGACAGAAGGGCGAAGTACTGGAGTTGGTAAGCAGTTTAGCAGTGAGTGACAGCAACTACAGTGAGGCCTGGGACTTGCTGACCTCACGCTACAAAGTCATGCGGATCATAGTAGACAGCCATATAAAAGCCATATAAACATGTGCTTAACCTAACCTTGCAGCATTTTGGTGCGCTACTTGCACTCGGGCGTCCGGTTGAGTTTTGGGATGACTGGATTGTCCACCTAACCGTGTCGAAATTAGCCTACGAGACTCGCAAGCAATGGGAATTATCGCTCGTAGCCGACGATTTGCCGACATTCGCTACGCTAAGTGACTTTCTCGAAACTCTGCAGAGTCAGATAGAGCTAAAGCTGCAGCTTGTACGTACTGCAAAGGTGAGCACAGAATCTACACATGTTCGAAATTCAGTCAGCTCGACGCAAAGGCCAAGCTAACAACCATAAAAGCTCAAGGTGCGTGCTTAAACTGCCTTAGTAAGGGGCATGTCATCGCAAAATAACGCAGTCCATCATCGTGTCGCATATGCCAACGTCGGCATCACTCGCTACTGCACTCTAGCCTTAACAACCAACAGCCCGTACCTGTTAACAACGAAACCGAACCTACCGTAAATGTTACGTCGTATTATGCTGACGCGGAACGCGTTATTTTATTGGCCACCGCTGAAGTTTATTTGCAAGACCACGCTGGTCACTGGCAATCCGCACGGGCGCTACTCGACAATGGTTCACATGCTTCTTTCATCACTGAATCCTGCGTGCAACGCCTTCATCTCCCCAGAAGCTCATCAACGGCATGCGTTACAGGTGTTGGCTTAATCCAAGAAGGTCGGACCAAGGGAGAAGTCAAGGTTTGTGTAGCTCCGCGGTCATTAGACCCAAACTTTCAAGTGAGTACGCTAATTTGGTCAAAAATTACTAATGACCTCCAACCACAGCTGTACAGTGCCCACACACTCGCGATTTACCACTAGCTGATTCAAACTTTTCCAAGCCTGGGCCTATCGATATTTTGATTGGCATGGATGAGATGCACAAGTTTTTGCTCGAGGGCCTGAAGAAGGAGCAAAACGGCTCTCCGATGGCTCAGAACACCGCGTTTGGTTGGGTGTTGTTCGGAAACGCTACTCCTTCACAAAGGCAACCTGCTTCAATCTCAACGCTGCACTGTGACACCCAGCTAACGCAACTTCTCACCAAGTTTTGGGAACTTAAGGAGCTGCCGCCGAGAAAGTTTTACACGACTGAAGAGCTTTATTGTAAAAAGTTATTCGACAATACAACACAGCGTGCGGAAGATGGTCGCTTTATAGTACGCTTGCCGCTCAAAAAGGAATTTCCGATTGGTGAATCTCGAAACGTAGCAGTTCGTGCACTACTAAGGATGGAAAAGCGGTTCGTCGCCAACAAGCGCCTTCATGATGAATACAGAAAGCTTATGCAAGAGCTTGTTGACTTGGGTCATATGGAGCCTGCTGGTCCAGCCACTCAAGCCAACTATTACATGGCGCACCATGCAGTGGTCAGGGATACGAGTGCCACTACTCAGCTTAGAGTTGTGTTTAATGCCTCCATAAAGACATCACCCGGCCATTCACTGAACGACGCTCTAATGGTAGGCCCTCAGCTGCAACAAGATCTTTTCTCGATTTGGATTCGCTTTCGCACGCGTCGCTATGGTCTTATTGCTGAGGCAAGTCTACGTTTCTGAGCGGATATTGATAACCAACGTATTGTGTGGCGTGAGCACGCTTCAGAGCCATTGCCCGACTACCGCCTTCTAAGGGTGATTTATGGGGTGGCCGCCGCCTCACACCTCGCCGTGAAGTCGCTACACCGCGCAGCATTGGATGCAGGCAACGTCTATCTGAAATCTGACTTCTACATGGATGATTTGCTCACCGGTTCGGATTCACTCCAAGAGCTATCATCGCTTCAAAGGGATGTTTCTCTCGTGCTCTCTCAGAGCGGATTCGAGCCCCGAAAGTGGGCAACGAATTGCCAACCGTTAAGAGATCAAATACAGCATGCGTCGAAGCAAATATCTCATCTGCTGGCTGAAGCAAATGATATCCGCACTCTGGGCTGTATCTGGCATACAGCCAACGACTCTCTCTCGATCGCATTTAATCTGGACGAGCTGCCGAAAAAGCTAACAAAACGCGTGTGCCTCTCCGACTCGAGCAAAATATTCGACCCGCTGGGACTAATTTCTCCTTGTACGATTGGTTCTAAAATATGGCTGGAGAAGGTTTGGCGCTCGAATGTGGACTGGGACGAGTTGGTACCACCTGGCATATCTATCGAATGGTTGACTCACAGACGGGAGCTAGCTGAACTTTCGTCGCTTAAACTATGTCGCTGGATTGGCACTAGTTCCATTGCAGATGCTGAGTTCCACATCTTCACAGATGCTTCGGAAGCTGCTTATGCGGCCGCTGTTTACTGTCGAACACTAACTTCCGTCGACGATGTCAGTGTTGTGTTGATTGCTGCGAAACCAAGGGTCGCTCCTTTGAAAACTACATCGCTGCCGCGATTGGAACTATGTGCAGCACATCTGGGTGCGAAGCTAGTTCGGCAGGTGGAATCAAGCTTTGGCTGCAGGCTCGAAAGGTTGTATGAGTGGACCGACTCAATGGTAACTTTAGCGTGACTGCAAGGAGATCCAAGCCGCTGGTCAGTATTCGTGGCGAATCGCGTCGCCGACGTACAGGAGGCCTTACCATCAGCACAGTGGAGACACATCGCCTCCGAGCACAACCCTGCGGATTGTGCCTCAAGGGGTATCACACCTTCACAACTCGTCGCCCATCCCTTATGGTGGCACGGGCCAACCTGGCGTCGAGAACGTGAGCGGTGTTTGGTTCAAACTTCCAGGCAACGCACAACAGAGCTGGAACGGAAGTCCAGCAAAGCCGTATCACACTTTGCGAAATCCGCCGATGAATGGGATCTGCTAACCAGATTTAGCTCATACAATAAACTAAAACGAATTACCGCCTATTTGATTCGTTTCGTCAACAACTCGCGCATGTCCGCCCGTCAGTCCAATGGAGCCGCGCGGCTGTTGGGACCGTTAACCAGCACAGAAATTAACAAAGCTGAGCTCTTATTGGTAAGGTACTCCCAATGTAACGTTTTCTCAAAGGAAGTTTCTAATTGCAGGTCGAAGAAACCAATACCCTTGCGCAGCAGCCTCGTTCGTCTTCAGCCGTTTCTAGATGCCCATGGTATTCTTCGTGTTGGAGGCCGCATCAAGAAGGCATCGTGCTCAAACGATATCAAACACCCGATGATATTGCCCAAGAAATCGTCGCTCACCAAAGTTATCGCCGCTGAAATCCACATCGCCATGTTGCACGCTGGACCGCAAATGATGCAAGCAGCCATTCAACGCCGATTCTGGGTCCCCGGCATCCGAAACCTCGTTCGAGAGATACATCGTCATTGCATACGATGTAAACGCCTAAGTCGCAAGCCGCTGCAACAACAGATATCCGAATTACCGTCGAGCCGTGTTACGAGTACACGATGTTTTCTTCAAAGTGCAGTCGACTTTTCCGGTCCGTACAATGTAAAATTTACACATGGAAGAGGCGCGAGGTCAACGAAGGCGTACGTATGCTCCTTTATATGAATGAGCACAGGTGCAATGCACTTGTAATTGGCCGGAGATCTCCCTTCAGTTAGTTTTATCGCCACCTTCAAGCGCTTTACCAATCGAAGAGGGCATTTCCAACACGTGTATTCCGACAATGGCACTAATTTTGTCGGAGCCGAAAGGGAGTTGCGTGCTGCATTCGAACGCTGCATCGGTGACGACAAGCTGACGAGTTACTTTGCTAACGCTCAAACTACTTGGCATTTTAACCCACCAAGCGCCCCGCACATGGGTGGTTATTTGGAGGCTGGTATAAAGCGTATCAAATACCACCTCAAGCGTGCCTTAGACTCCACTCTTTTGATTTACGAAGAATTCGCTACAATTGTAACGGAGGTTGAACCCTGTGTGAATTCTAGGCCTATTTTCTGGATACCCTCTGACGTCAAAGATTTTGAAGTGCTAACAACAGGCCACTTTATAATCGGCGAACCTTTAAAGGGCCTTCCGGATCCTGACTTGGGAGTTTTTAAAGGGACGCTTCATCAACGGTGGCAAATGATTACAGCGATAAAGCAACATTTCTGGAAGCTATGGTGAGACGAATATCTCGCGAACCTTCAGCGATGCACGAAGTGGCTTCGTCCAACGCAAAACTTACAAAGGGACGACGTGGTGATTGTTCACGACAACAACGCACCTCCCACGAAATGGAAGCTCAGCCGTGTTCTTGACAGTCACCCCGGTGTTGATGATCGCGTTCGGGTCATCAACTTAAGGACATTCGAAGGAGAGCTGCTCGACCCATTGTGAAGTTGTCGCTCTTGCCGACTAATACTGATATTTTTTCCATGTAAGTATTCAATGTAAAATTATTATATATGTACATACTTTTAAAGTAAGTTTCGAACAGACGTTCAAGGCGTCCGGTATGTTCACGCCTAATACGTTACTTTCAATTAGGCCTTAAGCGTATGTCTGGTTTGGCAGCACTGTGTGTAACCTGCCAAACTTGACATCCTTTCTACTTCTCTTCTATTAAATGGATTTAAGCAAATTGGACGTGTTTAATTTTAATCCGAGGTAATCCGCTTAGTTTTTCCCGCTTATAAACCCGCAAACGCTATTTAACCGCCACAGGACCGTTAAACCACACCAAATCATTGCGCAACCCGAGAGCTGTACAAGTAAATATTGTGGAAACTACTACACAATAAAATTGCGCAAACCGTGCTCAAGTAAATATGTGGAAGAAATATGACTGTGTGTTGCATCTATTGATAGCTTCAGATTTAAAATGCAAAAAAATAATATAAAGTAGAACGCTTTATTTTCTATCTTATTTTATATATATTTATTTACATCGACCTCTCGTCGATTGCGTATTTTTCGAATGCCCTCTATCTTCTTTTTTCTCCCTCCTCTTGGTCCTTTTACATGTTTCACTTGTCCAGTTTTTGTCTATTCGTCTTGTTCATCTCCGTTGTACGTTATTGTCAGATATTAGGTACTTTACAAATTTTCTTTGGCGCATATTCATAGTCATATTTAGTACTCAACTAAGTCGAAACTATTCTAAGTCACAACTAAAGCTATTCATAGTCGCCTTAGTTTCGACTTTTCTGGCTAAGTACCAACTTAAAATTTAGTTTCGGCTGCAGCTGCAACTAAGTCGTAACAGGAAGAAGTATTTTATCAAATTAAGGGAAAACAGACGAAATATGTAAAAATTAAGTTGGTAGAGGGTGATTTTGATAATATTGAATAATCTCCAATTAAAATTTACAAAGATCGATCCATTTTAATCGGAAGATGAAATTAAATGCGTATTACAATTCGAATAAAGCTACATCACAATTTTATAATTGGAATAATTTAGATAAATTCTCAAATAATAAGTTAGTTTCACGCTAGTTCTTTTAAAGTAAATTTGTGCATAACATTTAGATATCTACTATTTGTATGTTTCACAGGATGCTTTCGATAAACATCGACTTCACATCACTGCGGTTGTTCTGGCTATTTCACACAAATAACAAGAAAATTGTACCTTATTCTTTTGCATAATCATGCAATGAAAATAAAAATTACATAAACAGCTGATCAAACTGGACATTATTTAATAAAAATGTAATTTTTCCAAAATATCGTAAAGAAAAATCGATACATTTTCACACTCGTTTTGCTATATCGTAAACTAAGTCGAAATTACTTAGTAGGAGTCTGGGATGCGACTATGAATAGAGGTAAATTTTAAGTTGGTACTTAAATTTAAGTTGCAACTTTGTTGGTTTCGACTAAGGGCCGTTTGCACCATGTCTAGTTAATTCTAACTCCCAGTTAAACATCTTTATCGACGTTATCGAAACCCATCATATAAGATGTGATCGATAAAGCAGTTAACGTGCTTAACTGAAGGATGTACCTCCAGTTAGCGTTAACTAGACATGGTGCAAACGGCCCTTAGTTGCTGGACTATGAATACGCGCCTTTATCATTGAGTACAGTGTTGCCACGCAAATTTATTATTTCCAGGCTCTAAGTATTGCCATACATTACATCTTCGGCCTATCCTGACATTAAATCGTCCGCGATTTACAAGTTATGATTAATATCAGTTGGCAATGTTTACCTCCTTTAACAATCACTTAACCAATAACTAATTCTAATATCTAAGTGCCGCCTTTAGCGGAAACGCGGGATCTGTCAGATTCGCTTTCATTTTGTACCCATTTTTTATTCTCGCTGCCTCAACAACACCATCATAGGGCAATTGAGTCAGCTGGCAATTCTCAATATCCCTAATTACATAACGATCATGTGGCAAAACTGTGTGAATTACATAGGGACCCCGATATTTTGGTACGCATTTTTTATTGACCCCAGCTGTCGTTTCGACGTTGCGAATAACCACTAAATCTCCTTCCAAATATGTCTTTGGAGGCGTGCTCCGCTGGCTGAGTCGTGTCTCGTTATACTGTTGTGATCTTTTAATGTTGTCCAAGGTGGAGGCCCGAACGGCTTGCAAATCAATAGCGCTTTCAACGTTTTGTTTCCTATCTATGTATTCTGTCAAGTGATCTACCTTTTCCCCCTTTTGTTCGATCCAAAGAAAATATTACTGGGTGTATGTTTCGTACTTGTGTGTTCAGTGTTATTCAAGCTAAACTCAACGTGACTCAATCTATTCGACCAATCCGCATGATTAATGAGTTCACTTATTTTCCCCAGCATCGCCTTTATTACTCTGTTTACTCGCTCTACCTGGCCGTTTGCCTGAGGCGAAGCGACAGCTACTTGCACATGAGAGATATTATTCTTCAATAAAAACTCTTTGAATTCGAGGGACGTAAAAGAGGTACCGCGGTCAGTTATAACTCGCCCAGGTCTGCTATAGTAGCTAAAATATTTGTGGAGACAAGCAATCACTTCTCTTGTACTAGTGGAGTTCACCGGATATAAACGGACGTACTTTGTGAATGCATCGATTATGACGAGAATGTGCTTACGCTTTGAGTTAAAGGACGGCAATGGGCCAAAGTGATCCATGTGGAGGGTATCAAAAGGGACAGGCCTCTTAGGAATACTGAATAAGTTTCGTTCACACACTCGAACTAGTGCTGAATACATGATACATTTAATGCAGTTCTTGATGAACTGATCCACCTTAACATTCATCTTTGGGAACCAATAATGCTTTTGTAATTGCGAACACGTTTTGTCTATTCATCATTCATTGAATCATTCTGATGACATTGTCTTCCATTTCTTTTGGGACGACCAGTTGCAACCGGTTTTTAGTACTTTTCTGAACACCAGCCCATCTATTAGCTCATATCCGGGTACGAGAATCCGCTGTAATCTAGCTCTTAACATTTAGATTTCGTGATCTCGGTTTTGTGTGGCCTGAATATGAAGATCAATTTGTTCGGAATCCGAAGCACACACTATAGCGTCAATGTCATCTTCTTTATGGTTTTTCACAGCTGCTGCTACTAACGTCACATCGGTGGCCACTGCCGTTGGGCATCTGCTGAGAGCGTCTACATGAC